GAAATCAGATCATGAAGATCTTGCCAAACGTTCGAGTCCAAATACTATTGATGAGAGGATAGACATTCCTTCACAAAAAAGCTCTGATCCGGAAGGAGAAATGCTCGATTCCTTGAGCCTTCAAATTTCGAAAGCCATGCAGTCGAGCAAATCACTGCGGGACGCGGGAAACAATTGCTGAAAACGAAGAGTCGAGGTTTTTACTGAACTTACATTCATCGATTTATGTCAAGACAAGGATAAGGTCACGGCGAACGAGATTGTATGCTCACCCGAGTCCTCTCCTGCCCTCCTCTCCGGGCTGAGCGTAACACTAGAGCTCCGGGTTGACGAACTTGCTTACCACTCGAGGCCGGTTTACCGTGACAGCGCAGACTCACAATGAATACCGCCTGCCATCTCTAAGGAAGAAATGACTTTATCTTTCTTCCTCGAGGTCGCCACGGAGACTACGCCCGTCATTGCATTAGAGGGTTTCGTCACGCTTTTTCAAGCACGCCGAATTCCATGATCGGAGAAGTCGTGATGAAGGCTTTGAAGTCGAAGCTAGGAATGTGATTGGTTGGCTGCCAGAGTAGGTTTCTTTCCAATATCCATTTTAAATTCGAATCGTTGTGACGTGTTCAGTGTCAACGAGCGGAGGGGGTATCTTGACTTCCATTATGGTAAACTTGAAGTTCAACGTTCAATTTCGTGATCGTTTTTTCTGCCGGTGCGACCAAGTTGGAATCTGACCCGCAGGTGTTAGAAGATTTTGGATGAATTTTGTAATTCAAATTACTGAACCTGATTCTTAATGCGAATTTTCAATTTAATGTGCGCTGTGCGACTGAGTTCGGAGTGAGCGATTCGCCATTGTCTCTGATTTTTTATCTATGCAGAGACGATGGACTTCAGTTTTTTTAAAACATATCATTTTTTATGAACCCGAAGTTGACGTCGGGGCGTTGGGAAGGTTGTTCAAGCAGAAGTAACTTGCGGTGCCGAAAGACAAATTCCTCCTTCAGTCTATCATCGACAACCTCATCGCCAATGCACGAAACCAATGATCTATGTTAGAATTTTTGATGAGATGCACGATACTTGACTATAGTACAATTGCAAGGTAAGTAAGTAATTAAGACCGGTTCTATTAGAAGTGCCTCCTAGATCTCGTACGAAAGAGAAATGTCCACGCATGAAAAAGAGATTCGTAGATAATCGATTCGCATCCATCCAAAAACTCTCCTTCCCTTGAAGCATCGTGACATTTTCATTACGACAAAACAACACCCACACATAGAGCCAAAGTCCAAGCCAAAGTCGATATCGAGAATCCAAAATATCGACCAATAGTATTACTACTTACTCGACTTGATCCATCATCTGAAGCTGAAGTTGATGCTGTGACAGTGATGATTGGAGATGATGCGATGGTTGGTGTAGGTAATGATCCACCTATTCCGTTCATTGATAAAGCAAGTGGAGATAGATTTGCAAAACCGACTGATGGGGGATTGGCACGAAAGACGGAATACACGTTTTTCTAATGAATCAAAGTAAGATGAGGATCACATTCGGAGAATCATTAACGAAGGATGGAGAAAGGAGATTGACATACAAGGAAAGTATCTCCAACAATCCAACTTGGCCAACTTCCTGTAGAGTCCAGATCGAAAAACGCTCCAAGACAAGTCTCATCGCTCAACTGGGCTAATCGGAAATCTGCAGGAGATATTGGCCATAAAGTTGAACTACCTCCAAAACCAAGGGATACAGTAAGGTTGGCTGCGCAAGCTGATTTGTGAAACCAATTAGCATGTTTTCAAATGATCAATAACGTCAATACTTACGATAGGTATAATATCCGGAGTAATCACCCGTGCCAGGTGCACTACCGGGAATAGTAGCGTAAATTTCAGAAACGAGTGACTTGGGTCCACCAACCAATGTAGTACCGGTATCGATGGCTGCCCGTGATAATGAGGGTGAAGGAATGTTTATTTGAGTTGCGCCTGCGTTCATTGCTGGAGAGTGATATGTTAGATTACAAACCCCTCACCTAGTCGAAAAATAACACTTACAAGTGATTTCCAAGATCCAGTATCCCACCTGACCATCGGGGATGTTATAGTACTCAACATCTCCTGTATACAGGCTAGAGTTCAATGCCCCGATGGTGAATACACCACCTGGTTCTGAGCTCTTTGCGCCTGTACCGTTGATATATCGGGAGAGTTGGAAAGCCATCACAGGTGAATCCAAGGTGTTTGGTGAGTTTACCAAAGTTTCCCAAAATGGCATTGCACCAGATGTTGCGATGTTCTGGAATGCGAGCCCCAGCAGACCAGACACGGGAGACTCTAACATGTTCTGGCTGACATCTGTCACAAGACCTACGGATCGTGTTAGCTCACGTGACGTGGTGAGTTGAATAGAAATCAACGCATACCAAATGCTTGGTTCTGAACCTCGAACCCTGCCATTTCAACCACGTCGGTCCCTAGAGTGCCCTCGGCATAACCCATGCCATAGTGAATCAAAAATGTGGCGTTGCTGTCCTGGTACGTGCTCGACGCTAAACAGAAAGTTGCAGATACAGTTACTTCATTTGCGGGTGCAGATTTTGGGAAAGAAGCTAACCTTGCCGATCGTAGAGGGTAACTCCTGAGGGTACCCTAGAGCTGGAGCCTACGGAGGCCATCCACAAATCCCTACCATTATTTAGTTTCACAGGAAGAATATGAGGATGATATTAACATACGAAGATCCGGTGTCAAGTACGACATTGTAAGAAACAGGAGGTGTGCCGATCGTCAGCGAACCAAAATAGCTATAAATGAATCAGGGGATCATCTTCATAGAGGAGTTGCTGGAGGTGCCAACCTGGAATCCAAATTCTGATTGGTGACACTATGTAAATCGCGACATTCCAGTTATACATGTTGAAACTGCAATACTGATACCATACGTACAGGTTAGATCCTTCTGCTCTTGTTTGGACACCGGGGGATTGGATGCCATATTTGTATTCGAGAGCAAGCCTTTGAGACTTGGCCCATTGGCCCAACTCAGTCGCATTCTTGAAGGACTTGTCACTATGGAGGAGCTGCATCATCCGTATCGGCTTATTCGGACTTGGAGCAGCATACGCTCCCGAAGAAAGGAACGCATCGTTGAGGAGGAAAGTTAAGACTAGCTGCAAAGGAAGAGCATGGAAAAACAGCATGGAGGGTGTGGTGAAACAGCAGTAGAAATGTGTATCGTAACCGTCGTGAAGGTTAGAGGGTGTTAAGGGGGATGGCCGAGGGAAATGTTGGCCTGTGAGGGTGGATAGGAACTGAGGCGAAGAGGAAAGAAAGAGATAAGATGAAGCGGATAGAAGTGAAGGAGCGGTATATAAGACCAGAGCGCACTTGGCTTGGATGAACGAGCCATCTCTGCGAGCCAGGCCGGAGGATCCTTGCCGCAGTGCGTGTAATAGTTCAAAGCCAATAACATTACACCACCGGCCTCGAAGTCAATTTAGACGACCAAGGACGAGACCGACTTTTCTTGAGCAGGCCAATCTGTTGGCCTCCAATAATCCGAAGCGCCACCGCACGTTTTCGGACGAGCTCTTACCTAATTAGGTTACATCCAGGCCTCGGCAAGCTGCCGGCATCGAAAAGCGCACGTCCCTAAATGGAAAGGAGAGTGGTTGAGACATTTGTGCCTTGTCCCGCGATATCTCTTCCCATGAGTGCAAGGGTACAAAACACCGACACTCACCTGCGACTGAAGCACCCAACTTTCTGCTTTTCAGACTGCGAATATGCAGGTGCCGGTCATATCATGGGAATGATTCTTCTTTTGTCGCAGTTTTCAGGACTTCTTCGCACGTCGCCTACGCCAAGCATCAGTTCTCCGACATTCCTCGCTGACCAATCTACTTGTTATTCCGTTCTACCACAGAAAACTCTCTGAAGGTCTATGATAGTACCCCTCAAAGCTTGGCATCTGCTCGATGGTGAACTTGCCTCTATTCTTAATAATCCTAGGTGAGATCGATAACTGTTGAGCTAATGCACTAACCTGATGTTTTATATAGAATTCATTAGCAGATTCAGTGATACATGTACAAGACAGCCAGCGGTGAGATCTAGAGAACCAAGCGTTCAATGGATTATCCATGAAACGAAAGGCCCGCCTTTTACCCCAGTGTTGTTACGACATCGCGGTCAAAGTCTCCTCTCCTTGTTTCTCCCACTCCCATGGGCCAAGAATCCCCTCGTGACCTACCCTCGTCGATGAGAACGGCAGACTCGCATGGTAACCATCCTCTAAAAAGCTCGCGAAGACGATTCTAACACTGCTATTTCCTAGGGTCACTGTACAAAAATGCTATCAAGATTATACCGAAAGCTGCGGAAATCACTCATTGAGGAACATTTGCACCGAAGCTGACGAGGTTCCCCTGTCATTAGAATAGTCGGAATAACGGGTTTGAACTGGAATATACGAAAGGTAACGCATCTTCGTTGCGTTTTTGACTTGATATACTCGGTTGACGAAGTCATACTTCTTGAATTGTTTTCATCTAGATACCGAATCTCTAGTTCTAACTTCTCTAGTATGCTCAACTTCGGTAACCGCAACCTTCTTCTCAAACCTACCCCTCGTTCGTTTGATTTTGGAATCCTCCTCCACGCATTGTCAAGTTTTCGTCAAGCGTGGATATTGACAAAAATGGTGACTGTCGGCTTTCCACGACCAAGGCTTCGGCATTGCTAGTGCTCACCATACCGTGGATTCGTCACTCAAACGAAGTTAATAAAGTCCTAAGATTTGGACCACCGATCTTCGTACTGCTCTTGTGTAAATTGATATCAGGTACTTGCTCTATTTCTACTTGAATGGGTATTGTTTTCGCACTTACGATATATTTGGTGTTATAACTGATACTGGACCAGTAAATTCATCTCGGGCAATGGAATGGCCTTTTACTCTATATATTTACACCAATCATTCAGGCTATCATCGGCCCAATGGTCTAGAGGTAAGATACTTGCTTTGGGTATCCGCTCGAGTGCAAGGGATCCTGGGTTCAATTCCCAGTTGGGCCCAATTTTTTGATATAATGCATACACTGTCGGCATGCTTCGTCTTATATCTCACGCATCGCCATAGAATACTTGATATTATTGTAACGTACAAAGAGGGATACGTATACATTGGTATCGACGTTTTTATTTTTAATCTAATCAACCCACCCCGAACACTCGATATTCAATGTTTACAGGTATACGTTGCCCATCTATTCAAATTCAAATTGCCAGTGTCAACTCACGTCTTGAAGTCAAGATCATTGAACTACTTATGCCAGACATCAGATTCATAAGGGTACTTTCACTAGGCTCATATCACGATTCACCGCCATTAAGCCAACGAGTCAAATGCCAGCCGGTCAAGCAATTGTCTATTTATCAATCACCATCCTTGTGACTCCCAAGTTCAATCGTTCGAAACACACTTTGAAAGCTCAACGGTTACAGTCATTATCACTAGAAGTGGCCTCAGATACATTCACTGGTTGACATCTGTGATCGTTCACATTGGGTGGTTACAAAGGTCGAATGTAGGCTGTCTTTATTTGCGTGGGCAGCCTCGTGTCGGAAATATCCAGAATGGCCACGTCAATGTCGCTTTCAATTCTTTGTGGCCCCTGGCTATGCGTCGTTCAAAATGGTCGCAAAGATAAATGCTGGCACGTATGACGGTTAACACAACTACACTCCTCTCAACGGTTGAAATAACTCTTAAAGAACAATTCCCCAAGCTTCTGAATTATGGATCACGATTTCAATATCGTTCCCGGTTTCCCAGATGATGTAGAGAGGTGAGTTTTCTTTATTCAAAGTGCCACTTTATTGATTCCAGACAATCTTTTTCAGGACCGCTGGTTTACCTAGGCTGGACCTCCCTCCTGAGTTATGGCTGCACATTTGCGAATCATTCGATTTGGAGAAATCTCATTTCCGCAATTTGTCTTTGTGCAACAGTACATTGAGATTGGTGGCACAACCCTTTGTCTTCAAGAAAGTAGAGCTATCATCGTATTTCATCCACTCATCCCGCCGGCCATCATTTGTATATGCACAAACACCTTCTTATCTTGCCTCACTTTTGGAACGTTTCGAATTCCTCTGCTCTCCAAGGATCGCTCATGCAATTCGGTCGATTTCATTTCAGTCGCGAGTCTCTGATGCAAGTTTGTATTCTGAACTCACAATAGACTGCCAGACGATCGCCGACACACTTTTTCGGCATATAACCGCTTTTCATAATCTTACTTCGATCTCAGCGGAAGGATTCAGGTTCACGACAGATCATCTCCTTCAAACTTTTCAACTCCCCAAGTTGGAAATCTTCCGATTAACGGAATGTTCTGCGGAGATAACTCAAAGGATTAACATCACATATCCTTGTCCCAAATTGCGAGAGCTTTCTCTTTGCAATGCTTATTGCGACGGTGAAGGGAATATTCATCCATGGTGGATGTATTTTATTGGTCAGGATACCACTGAAAGACTTTCACTTTTTCCATTGGATCATTATCCGTCGACGTGCATCTTGAAGTCTATATCATCAAGTCCTCCGCTTCTTTGTCTGAAGAGTCTTACACTGGGGTCGAAAAGACTAGAAGCTGTTGATATCATCGAGGTTCTTTCCAAATGCCCTTCCTTGGAAGAATTTAATGTTGGGTCGCAAGGTTATTACGGCGAGAGGCACACTCAAGAACTCGAGAACATTCTATCCAAAGATATTGTCTCGCACCTCGTTTGTATCTCTGGTCCGCTCTACTTTATCCTTCCCTTCCTTCGCGACCGAACTATTCAAACCTTTCGTTGCCGTTCGGAAGATATGTTTGACTTCAATGATAATTCATTCGTACTCGATAGGCTTCGTAACAATGGCCCTCATCTTCGATCCTTATCCCTCTCCTTCCTGCGACATAATCTCATCCAATACTTTTCAATTCTCTCCCACTTCCGGGAAATGCAGTCCTTTCGCGTGATATGTTTTGAGCATATTTGCACCGTTAAAGAGGTCCGTGTATAACTGTAATATTCACGAATTTAATCCTAATTCTTTTGAATAACAGGTATGCGAAAGTTTATATCATGCAGATATTCCTATTACTCTACAGTCTCTCGAGTTGACCACGTTCTGTCGACCTACATATAAGATTTATCCTCCTAGTCCCGAGGTCGAGGAACGATTCAACCAAGAGTTCCCGAATCTTTCTTCCGTATGGATCACGGCACCAGAGTTCCAGTTTAAATGGAATAGAATAGTTTAGTCTGTCATATGTTTCTTAATATACATATTGTTCTACGTCAGCGAGTCCAAGAAATGTAGTATAGAGCATTCGAAACCGAAAGCAAGTTTTTCGTACGAAGATGTGTACAAGACATTGTTGGCATATGTCGGAGGGCTTGATGAACAGTTACCCGGCATTCGTTTAGGACAAACGACAAAGATTTGGAGCTTTTTCGAGAGAAGCAGTCTTTTTGGAAACTAGGGGCTCACTCACGGGAATGCAAAAGTACCGTCTAAGCATGCAATTTTCAGCTTAGCAAGATGAGGGCATGAAGAGGACAGATACATGAAGAGAGTTTGTTTCAAGTATTGATATTGGCGGGGTAATGTGGGACTCCGAACTTCAATGTGACATAGTGTCGTAGGTAGAGCCATGCCATGAAGCATTTTCTCTGCCTGGACAATGTACCGTTTGACTTGGTTGAATGTGCGATATAATATGAACAGGGATGCACATACCTCATCTATGGTACATTGAAGTCCTGTTTCTGTTGAAATCTTGAGAGATTGAAGATTGAAAAAGGTAGTGAGAATATCTGACAGATATCCTATCGTCACCGGCGCCTTTGTAAACACTTCCAAGGATGAAAGACTGCTTGATGACCCATCTCGGAGACTTTCGTATAACATTATAAGATCATGGTACTCTTTGATCTGTCCTGAAATTATAACCGATTGAAGTTTTCGATTGCGGCAAAGAGAAGGTGCGATTTGGTAGTGGACACGAATTTTCCGTAAATTTGGCAGGGCTTCTTTCGACAAGGAATTTTCGAAGTCCTGCAAAGCTTGGCTACTGTTGAGAACCCGGACCCGCGAGTCATTCTCAGTGAGCTCGACCAATGCAGGCAACTTTGATAGTGCAAGTCCAAGCTCGAGAAGAGGTAGGTGAGAAGCGTCTAATTTAAGTGTGTGGAGGTGTCTCAAAGGAGGGATAGTCGAGGAACGAGCAAGCTTCGTGATGAAAGCCGTCGACCTAAAATAAGGCTCGCGAATATCCAAGAATTGGATGATACACGGATCGATGAGGAGGATCCACCATGGATCCGCATACAGACGTGAGTCATCTATCATCCGAGGTACGAATGTTAGGTGCGTCAGTTTGAATTGCACTGGATCCTTCTCCTCCTGCATCTCGGAGAATGTCACGTCTGCGGGGCATCCATGGAGTATCAATGAGGTGACACTGCTCAGTGCTATGGAACGTAACACGGAGCTGTTGATACTGATTCTTCGAAGGTAAAGTCGATACAGATTAGGGAGGCGAGGCAATGAAGTCAATATGTCGTTGAGTAATTTACTGCTCAACGACGATGGTTCGATGGACATTTGCATACCCGACATGAGGATAGATAGATGTTGGATCGCGCAACACATCCTGCTAGACAAGAGGAAGTGCAGTCTCGTTGAAATTTGTGTGTAGGATTCAAGCGAGAGGATACACTGAATCTCAATGTCGATTATTCGAAATAACCGTGGTTGTGAAAGATGCAAATAGTCGACAGACCAGGGAAAGGGCATTGAGTGTATCGAGCTTAGAGCGGCTCGAGGTAGATGAGATCCTGTCGAAGATGTCTAAGAGCAGCTCCGACGGAATATCATGAATTCCAGGCATGCCAGAATCCGGGTAGTAGCTTGACTGTCTGAGACAACTTCAGCAACGAGAAAACAGATGAAAACGAGCCCGTTATGAACCGAAGACACTCACTAGATTATAACAGGTTGTTCTCAATAGCTTGGGTTTACTCGGAGCCAAGATTTTTATCTGACGAATGGTAAGTAATCGTAGCAAGAATTGGTTAGTGAAGAAATATATCAACGATTGAGCAACTCAATCACTGATGCGCCCAAGATACCAATCCTGCACGTGCAAGGGAGTGAGAAAGCTAGTTGCCGTTGAAATGGATAGCATACAACTTGGTTTTCAGATCTTATACCAAAATCAACGATTGTGTACATAGAGCAGATACACTCCGGTCGCTGTAAACTATTGATAGAGGTCATCTCTGAATTTTCCAGCAGTCAAGATCTCTACACCAGTCTCCGTGATACTAGAACAGCAAACGACCGAAATGAGTGAGAGGAAGAATATGTGGGTGTATGGAGATAGTGAACGTACAGGAGGGTTTCTTCGAATTGCGCACTGCGTCTTCCATCGATGGTGGTTGCTGTCCAGTTATCGGGCCAGTGAACTGTGTCCCAGCGATGTCCGAGGTTAAGCATCTAAACATCGATGGAGATTAAGGTCTATTCGCCTAGTATACGGTTCAATCCAATTGACAAGGACTTACAGGTTCGATTGTGAAGCACTGTGATAAGGTAGTTAAATATCGAGTGAGAAGCTGGACAAAAAGAGGGAGAAGTGTGAATACTTACCATTCCAGCTTTCATGGTACCAACAGCTTTATTCTTGGCATAATGAGGAACATTAGGAGGGGCATGGAATAAGTCGTTAGTGCCATGTCCTGTAAATGCCCGGACGACTGCACATCCAGCATCCCTTGCTACTGGTTCACTATGAAAAGAAAAAATATTTCGATAAGTTCAAGCGCATAGAGGAGATGATGACTAACATGACTTTTCCTATATCCCGAATCAAAGCACCAGGTTTACAGATTTTGATAGCTTCATGAAGGGCTTGATGAGTTGCACGCATCAATCTCTTCGAATCGTCATCGACTCGACCGACAGGATATGTTTCGTTGAGGTCAGCGTGGAATCCTACAGGGTAAACAAGAATAATTGA